TGATCTTAAACTCACTGTGTAGCTCAGGCTGGGCTCAAATTCGCAACAGTTCTCCTGCCTCAGCCTCTCAAGTGCTGGGATTAGGAGCACCCCAGCCTGTACCAGTCAATTTTTAGAAAGGGTTTTGAGTTTTAATAAGACTGGGACTATTTCAAGTATCTAAAGAACACGATTTTATAGGTAGCTTGGCATAGTATTTTTTTGTCCTACCTTAGTAGGTAGTACAATTTGCATCAAAGAACTGACCAGTTAGACATATGTGGGTGAGCATTAGCTGCTCCTTGCAGGCCTGAGTGCTTTGGGGACAGTATAGTCAGTTGTCCACCTGGCTGTGAGGCTGCTGTCTTTCCCGCTGGAATGTGATGACAGGCAGTGTTAGCAGTTCTTTACAGCCCATACCTTGGCTTTCTGAGAAACAGTTATCTCCCTGAATAAATATTTACTGAACACTGACTACAGGCCAGGCACCATGTGTGGTTAAGAACAGAGTCCACTGTCCCCAGCTCCCATAAAGCTCTCGGCTTACTCCATTCCCCTTCCTGCAAACCAGCAAGCTGTGGAGAAACATGTTTTGGGCTGGTACCACTCGAGCGGCTGACTGAATGTTATCGTACCTTTATATTTGCATTTTTAAAAAGTAAGCTTGAGATGGTTGTAGATTTGCCTACAATCATGAAAAATCATGCAGGGATAGTCTATGTATCTTTTATCCATCTACCTCAGTGAAAACATCTTGCAAAACTATATCCTCACAGGGCAGCCAGGAGGGTGACATTGATAAAGTGAAATTTCCCACAGGGAAACCTACTTGGGCCAAGGGAAATGTTGATCTTAGCACCAACAGTGTTTTTGTAGCCCGTGATGGAATTTACCTAATGGCTCAGTATTTTTTCATCTTACAGCACATTCCCTCTGCCCTTGAACCTTTTGTACTCTGATTTAATTATTCAATAAATATTTTTTCATCACCGAGAAATGATGAATAGCTGGGTGTGGTAGTGCAAACCTGTGATCACAGCACTCAGGAGACTGAGGCAGGAAGATCTCTGTGAGTTTGAGGTCACCCAGGGCTACAGAGTGAGTTCTAGGCCAGCTTTAACTGCATAGTGAGACGCTGTCTCAAAAAAAAGAGACATGATAAATTGGGGTAGACATGTTCAACTTGATT